AGAGAGAGAGAGAGAGAGAGAGAGAGAGAGAGAGAGAGAGAAGGAGATAAAGTTGATACATTCAAGTGCATTCCAATAAAGTCTGACACTTGAAGTTCAAAGGAATAACTTTGGAAACAAGATATCACGTCAATTATTCACACAGGATGAGCATACTTGATAAAGATAAACTCCATGACTATTTCAATCACTAGTTGCCATGACTAGTATCTGGCTGTGCTATTTAGTTAAGAAGTTGTTCTCAAATATGACCAATCAAGGGCAAAATGAACAGACTTCATAAAGGCCTTAGGGGGACTTCTGCTATGTAACCTGATCTTAAGGTCCTGACTTTAAGAGGGTCCCTGAATCAAATCCAATTTTAAAAACTTAATTTTATCAGCTTCTGTGGTGCTTATTTCTAAATTAATTATTTTAATCAGATCACCACACTGCAAATCTGCCGTCAGGTAGCATTCCAGCATAAAAAAGACACAGAAGAGTGAGATTATAGTAATTCCCCAGAACCCAAGGTGACGTCTTAAGTTTGCTATTTATTTTTTGTATTTAATTGACTATAAAATAGAACTGAGAAAAGCGGGAAAATACTTACAATAGAGTAGCTGAAACCAGAGAATATAAGGCATTTCGCTTTAAAAAAAATGATAGTCAATTAACAGAATTGCTCAATTAATCAACTACTTGTTTCGACACCAGCACCAGCTCTTTTCGCCTCATGGTCCCACAAAAGGCACATTCAGCTGAAGAGAGTCCATTGCATGTTCACTTTCCCAAATTCACGATTACCTGTGCGCTCATCTCAGACACCCTTTTTTCCGACGGTGACATGAACGCAGCACGAGGGGGAATTCTCAATCGACTCGTACGTTAACTTCCTTGCGCACGCTAACTACCCACCATGCAGCGCGGCTACATACAACATAGCCATCTTGTCAAGAGTGACTGAGAGAGGGAGGCAACTGTGGGCGCTGTTTAGATTCTCATTTGTTTTAAAAGCTGGAATTTAAGAGCGTTTTCCTCTCTCGATCGACCGTTTGCTTCAAAGTAAGTGTCGCCACCGAATGACTTTAAGTCGGTGAGGTGAGGGGATACAGAAGGACTCCTCTCGGCGAGATGTCTCACATACTTGTTCCGACGTAGGGGGAGTGTGCAGCAGCCAGTTGGCTTCACTCGCTAGCTAGCTCAGAGAGTGGAGGGATGCGGGCCCTCCTCAGCCTAAAGTAGGTCCTGCAGCTGGGCAACACACTGCGACAACGGCCGTTTGACAACCGCACAACCGGGACATCCGTAGGCCGATCTGGGACCGACAGAAAGCTCTGGATCTATCGCCCTACAGGCGGCTGGTATCGGTGTCTGAAGCCGCATTGCTGGACAGGGCGACACGACGTGTTGCGTTATGGGCTCATGAAACGCAACAGGAGACCGAGAGAGGAAGAGGGATGGCGTAGATTCCTATTGATTACAGTTATCGTTCGCCAGGCTGAGTAAAATAGACGCAAGTTTGCTGTTTAATATGATATAAGCCCATAGAAGTGGCATCCGGCTCTTCCCTTTCTGACGGAGGATAAACATAGCCATACTGGACTTTGAAATCAGGCTGTCAATATGTCGAAAATGCCGGCCAAGAAGAAGAGCTGTTTTCAGATCACTAGTGTGACTCAGGCCCAGGTGGCGGCTATCGGTGCCGCCGACGACACGGAGAGTCTGGAGGACCCGGACGAGTCCCGGGCTGAAGACGTGTCGTCAGAGATCTACGACATGTCGCGGGCCGAGTACGAGCCCGCGTGTGGCAGAAGTTCATCCGAAGAAGCCCTGAATAATGTCGGGGAGCCAGAGGCGATCAGTGTTATGGCGCCGTCGCACATACCTCAAGCCGGGCAGTTGTCCGCGCTATCGGGCAATCTCACAGGGGAGTTCCGGAAGGTGGGAGTGTCGGGCTCAACTCCAGGTGGACAGCAGCCGCCGCCGGGGATCGGCGCTCGGCCCGGGGCAATGCAGCAACAGCCTGCTCCAGCAGCCGGCGCTGGGCCAGCCGGTGTGTCGGTAAACGCATCCCAACCTGCAGCTCCACCAGTCACCTCCACGGTTAGCTGCACCTCGCGCTTCAGGGTCATTAAACTCGATCATGGTACCGGAGAACCCTTTCGAAGAGGCAGATGGACTTGTACGGAGTTTTATGAGAAGGACTCCGATAGCTCTGCTGTGACCAGGACTGTAGACGGCATTAGGCACGCCAGTGCGACGACACTGGACCCGGCTGCAGACAGAGACAGTGGGCTTGGGCATACTGGAGGCTCTGTGGTGACACACTCGGGTCAGGGCTTGGGCTCTGTGGCGGATGCTTCTCTCTCTTCACCCCGCATGCATTCGGTGGAGACGCCACCTCAGCAACAGCAGCAGCAGCCACAAATCCACCATCAAAACTATGGTGCCTGGCCACAGGGCGTTAGTGGGTCCGCCACACAGAGTGCTTTCTCCAGCAGCAAGCCAGTGGGAGGTATCCAGCCTTCTGCTCCCCAGAGCGCCTTGCCCGTCGGACAAAACGGCCTGCCTCAATCGGTTGTCCACATACAGAAGTCCCCCATCATGCCTCCTTCAGCCCAGCCTGTTGCTTACCCTCTGCAGCAGCAGCAACAGCAGCCTCCTATGGGCCACCACCTGACCAGCCAGTCTTCTGGACTGCCTGTGGGACAAGGACACCCTTCGCTCTTGCCTCCGGCCTCTGGAGGCCCTTCTGTGCCAAGTCAGGTTGGAGATGTTGCAGGAGGTGGATCTGTACCTACTGGACAGCCGGCTCCAGGCCTCTTGCAGACTGGAGGAATGGGGGCTGTCGGAGGCTCCGTGCTGGTTGGTGGATCCACAATGCAGCAGCACGCTGCGAGTCAGTATACAACCGCTGGACAGCCTCAGCCCCACGGCCTCCACCCCACATCCTCCGGTGTACAAAACGTGCCTGCCATCGCAGTGAGCTCCGGTGTGCCCACCGCTGTGCCCGCTGCTGTGCCCAGTGCCTCCAGTGCAGCCTTGCCAAATGTGACAACTTCCAGTTTGCCTCCAGGTCAGATACCCCACAGCAAGACTCTAATGGCTTTGGGGATGCAGGGCCTCCCGGTGACTGGATTTGGACATATGGAGGGTGGTGGAGGGAAGTCGGAGGGTCTCGTCAACGCACATTCTCCTTTCGTCTCTGGGAAGGAACCGATGAAGGCCTTCATGCCTGAGAGCCTGCAGCTCGCCACTCCGACTGTCAACAGCCTGTTTGGAATCCACATACCTGGCGACGGGGATGTGGACAGGTAACAGTCTCTCGATCTTAATATAAAGTGTATGAAAAGTATCCTCCCTGTTGAGAATCATCACCATGCCTGTGCAACGTTATCCGTAACGCACACAAGTTGAACAATCAACATTCAGATACTGTGTGAGTCTTAACTGGGCCTATTTCAGGGCACTTGTTAAAGCAGGCATGTGTAGTGATCACAAGTAGGTAGTTGGTCATCAACAGGTTTTCCCCCTTTTGTTTCAGGGAGGTGTGGAGGGAGAGGAGTGTGTAGTAGGAAGAGAAAAGTGGCACAGGAAGGAAACTTAATGTTCTTTCTCATTAGGGCCTAAAGAAGTAAGTGGAGTGTAGCATACTCGAGGTGAACATCCACGGCTTCCACTGCACACGCAACAACTTGTTAAACGTTCACACGACTCCTGTAGTATTGGGATTTGCTGTGAACTTGTGTTTTGTTTGTGGAAGCCTTGTGTTGCAGATTTGATATCTCCAACCTCCTTTTCCTCCCTCTTCAGCTATCGCCCTCCAGGACGGTGGCCTTGGCTGCAGACAGCCAAGTTGTGTTGCTAGTTTGCCAGCGTGCAGAGAGAGTTAGCTGAGCTTTCTATTAGCCTCAAGCTACTTCTGGCCACTTGCTAAATGCAGTTTCTTAGTTTTCTAAGCGGAGTTATGTACATTTAATCTTTATATCCTCTGAAAGTGTATGTCACACAGAATATTCATACACATATTACACATCGGGGTTAAGATTGAAATGTAGTGTTATTCCTTAGGGATAATTAAGTTATGTCAAGATAATATGCGGCAAAATATGACTACAATTGTAGTCACAACATGTGGCAATCTTATTATGGGTCATGGCATTTACTTCCTTTCCTTAAGTAATCTCTCTCGCTCTCTCTCTTAATTCCTGATTTTTAGCGCTTAGTTTCACTTTTAGTCGATGGCACACATGAGCGGAAATGATACAGCGCCTTAAATCTCTGTCGTTTCCTTTTACAGTGTTAAAGGTATACCCGAGTGAAGACCAGACTAGATATCCAGATTGCAGAACACTGGCACAAATTGTTTATTCTTCACATGGATGGACAATTATTAAGAAAGTGTTTGATGAATGTAAACTTCCCTAAAGTGCAGAGAATACTCAGTCTCTGAATCATTATCGTCACAGGCTTCAGTGTGTTTTTGGAGTACCTATGTGTTGCTGGTGAGAGGACCCAGCTCCCAGGCTGATAAGAGCGGGAGCTTCTTACGACAGCTAAGCCCTATCAGACAGTGAGCAGTAGTCTTTCCACTGTGGCCCTATTCCACAGATAAGACACATGACAGTGGGGTGTGTCAACAAACTGTGCTTGTTGGCTCTTTTCTTTTGCAATACAATGTGAGCTTTAAGCACTGTGTGCTCTGTTTAGGGCCTTTTTCAACGTGGTTAAATCCACATGCACACTCCCCAATTCAAGAGCTGTGAAGCAGTCATTCAGAGTTTGTTTTGCAGCGTCAGCGCTGCAATCGGTGCTTTGTACCTACCACCCCGCCGATTGCCTGACAGACGCGGCGTGAACTGCAGATGAAGTGCTGAATGACGTTCATTTGCACCAGCAACTGTGGTATGTTCAAAGAGGTGGAGGAGGTGTGCCTCACTTCACCAGGCATTTTAACTATGCTTGCTACATCCCCTCCAGCTTTTTTTTGTTTCTTGCCTAATTTCCACATGTCCCGTGCACTTTTTTTTAAAAAATTGAGTCTCTTACTGCCCTACCACCCACACAACAAAACACTTCTATCTTCTCCTCAAATGGACTACTTCAGTAGCTAATGTCTATAATCTGCACAACACAGAAAGCTATTGTACACACACTCAGTTTTGACCGCATGTTGTAGACTTTCTGCGGCTTGCACAACCTGGAAAACCTCTTGGCCATTTGTAATGCTCAAATGATTGTTCCCATCTTCCTCCACCCTGTTGGTTTTTTTTTTTTTACTGTAATTAATTAAAGCAAAACAGTGGAGATATAGACTACAGATTGTTGTTCTCATACTTAGAATATGATTGTCAGCTTAATGTTTTCCAGATGGCTTCAACAACTGAAAGCACTGTCATAATGTCTTTATTGCGCTCACAGAGGAGTTTCTTTTGTTTCGTGGGGTAAATGCATTTCTTCTGTAGCCCGTGCATTATGGAACGCATGCTGGGGAGGCACGGTTTATTGTCCTTGCGTAATGGTAGCTTATGTAAAATTGGATTTAGGAGGGAGGGGAGGGACATAATGGAGCAGTTACTGTGAACATGAATTGAGAGACTGTGTGGGTGGATGAGGGGTGTGTCTGTGAAAGGGGATGGGTTGACTTAGTGTGTGCGTGTGCGTGCGCACACACACACACAAGTATCCATGTCGAGGAGGAATTGAGGCAATACTTTTGAAGAAATTCACCATGGACATTAACAGCGTCCTCATTTTTCGAGTGTGTGTGTGAGACACAGAGACAACATGTGCCACTTGGTCTTTGCCTCCCCTGTGTGACCTCTGGTTTACGGCTGTATCCTGTTTTCAGTCGGAGTCCCTCACACTGCCCTCCACCTTCTATTCATTTCATATTCCTTAGCTCGCTCCCCACTTCCGCACTGGGGCTCTCCGGTCATATTATGTGACATTTTGTGGGCTCACAGAGGTAGAAGTACGCACATCTTTGGCCAACGGTCATCCTTAGTTCTGAACCTGGCTGCCATCGTTCATGCTGTAATGCTGCATGGTATCCGTAAAGGAGCGATACCTGTAACTGTGCACTCTAAGGTGTTTACATTCAACAGCACCCCTCCCCTCCGGAGTGTCTTTAGCAATAGTGTAATAATGAATCTTCTGATACGGCCATGAACGGACTGTTTGTTTTATATTTCTGTTTACACAAGTCAAGTCGTTCATCCTTGTGGCCTTCTCTCAGCCGTAGAGCTATTTTCAAAAATAAAGGTGCATTACTTTGGTTGTAGTCTGTAGGCTTTGCTTCAGCCATCACCTCCACCCCCACCCCAGGTATAGGGGCCCTCCATTGTTCTGACGAGCAGAAGAACGTCACTCAGTCCAAGGTTTCGGTGGCCTGTTAGCTGAGGATGTGCTGTACTGTGCTGCAGATAAGCTCAGCTGAGAATATGCTCGTTATCTTGTTTTTGGAAAGTGGTACTTCAGTAACTTGAGGGTTTACAGAGATTCACCTTTCAGCTGTTTTGTACTTCTGGTTTTTCACCAACAAGAAATGAATAATTGGTCATTGAGTCACTTTATCAGATTCCATGCTGGAGCCCCCAACACCGGAAACTACACTTTGATGGTTAAAATAGGCGGAGTTCCCTTTAAATACATTGTGGCAATGAAACAATTAGAAATTAAGCTTTAGGTTTCAGTTTAGCACCTCCCACTTCCTGTGGCTGCTTAACTTCTGTTCGATTTTCAGTGAAAACAAAAATCCTGGTAAATAAATATAAATCCTTCGATGGTGAAACAATGGTTGCTTGTTGCCTGCCTGCATTCAGCACACGATAAAGCAGCTTATGTTTGACTGGTTTCCACGCTGATAGTTATTATAAGTGCCGTGGGAGAAGGGACTTTTTGGGGGGGAACTGCAGCCGAGAATCAAAAAGTTGAACTAGGTACCTGCGGTCGTCTCGGGGCATGATGTTTATGGGTGTCCTGTCACTAACCTGTGCTAGTGGGATGTTAGCACCCCAGCTCCCAATATCCTCTGGTGGCCATGCTGTAATCACACAATGGCTCCAAGTGCTCCCTGTGCTCCGCCTCCCTCGTCTACAACCCAAAAACCTGCTGAAAAAAACTCCCATAGGGCAGCTGGAATCTAAATAGTTTTGGCCTACTTTTCCTCGGTGGCGGATGGATTGACGGTGCTGAGAACCCGAAGCCTGGTGAGCACTGGCGGTGAGAGATTTCAACACGACTCTCTCACCTCCCTCTTTGCTCCCCCTTGACTATCGGTTACTCTAGCTGTATGTCTACTGCTACCCCCACTTTTTCAGCCCGCTTTCCTGTGCTCCAACACCATTACGCCACGCTCAAGCAATCATTTGTTGAATAGAGCTTCATCGGAGGGTTTGCACTGGAAACACAGGAGATAGCATAAGCGGTCCCTAATCGACCAATCGCAGCTCTTGGCTGACACATTACGCCTCCGCAACACCTTGACGCAGAAGCAAAAACTCCATAACACTTTTGTTTTCTGTGTACTTTCCACTCACACTCTTTTGCCCCCCCCCCCTCCTCCTCCTCCTCACTTAAGGCTTCTGTTGGTTTTCTCATGCTCAATGAGTTGGCAAGGTTATTAAGAGGTTCAGCGCCGTGAAACTTAACCTTTGATGCGCCCACTGGCTCGCAGTGCAGCCCACATTGAAGGGAGAAACCATGTGACGTGCTCCAGCTAGATGTGTGACATCAACCAGCAAGAATGCACTCAAAAGGTTATTTTAGTCTGCTGCCAGATCATACATTTGCTTTCGGGCAGAGCATGTGCAGCCATCGTTTTTTGGTTTGCTTTGAGACAGAGGTTTAAGAGGACTTTTGCACATGCAGCATGTGTACATGTGTGATAGGTCACTCCCTTTTTCTGTCTTTCTGTCCTCCTCTCACACACACCATACTCTGGGTTTATGGGGGAGACGGCATTTTCACCACTGCTCAACACAGTTGGTTTACAAAGAGGGGCTTTCATAAATGGATATTGACATGTTAGAGTTCCGAGTTACAAAGAGAGCCATTGAGAGTCGAGTGTTTGCTTATTGAAAACAAGGAACGATGACTCCTCCGGTTCTTAACCTCGTTTCATGAAGAGGTTGCTGGACACCAAGTCGTCTGACCTGTGCTGGCTTGCACAGTCCTCTGCGTTGTAGCTCTGAAAAAAGAAGACTTGTATATCTGCGGAGGTGTGCGTGAGAGGTTTCTCTCGGGCCGTTTGCCCGCAAAGTAAAATTAAACGGAGGCATAGGGGGAGTTTTGTGAGCGTTTAGTCGTGAGG